CCCCCCCCCCCTCCATAACCCCTCCTTGTGCACAGACAGAGAGTTTTTTTAATTAGTGATTCATTTAGTAGAAATGACAGTCCTACTGTTCAGGCAATATTGGCTGTATTATAATCTGTGTTGTAAGCAAAGAAATAGGTCTGTGGAAATTGCTGGAATCGTAAGCAAACTCCATAGAAACTATTGAAGACTGATGAAAATGGAGGTCAGTTGCGTGAGAAAAGTCTGAGCTCTGTCTGTGGATATTTCAGAACAAATATTTACAGCCTGCCTGTATTATACAGCAAACAGGACAGCTATGGAAACCAATGCAGCTCTGGTGCTAGAAGAGGCCAGACATCCTCCCAGCTTCTAGCTTTTGTAGGTTTATATTTTGCAAATATTACGGAACTCTCAACTGTGCTGTCTGCACTAGAAAGGAGTGATTTACCACCCTCGAAATTAACACGCTGTGCTCCTTTTCTTTTTATAATTTTCCTATGAAATGAAGAAAAGTCGTAGGGTAACCCCTTCCCCCTCCATTCCTTAGCCTTCTGTGAACACCGGGCTGGTATTGCCATGGTTGGATGGTTCAAACTCACAGGCATCTTGCCATATTAACACTTGTTCAGATGCCAAATAGTATTAAGTTGATGCTTTAGTTTAGTAGGAAAGTCCCTGTATAATGGTCCCTCTTTTTTACAATACCAGCTTTGTGTTGAAAGACATAATGCTTTTCTGTAGTACTGTTAGGGAAATTGAATGGTATTTATGTATGTATGATATCAACCTTGATGATTAATTTCATCTGTGCTCTAGGAACTAAAATGTTCTTAATAGAGGTGCACCAAAATGGAAATTTTTAAAACCGAAACGAAAATCGAAATAAAAAAAATTGTCAGGCCGAAACCAATACCGAAAATGTTTTTATTTACATTTTTTCACATTTTAAAAATATTGTATTTTAATTTTTTTCTAAACTTTTTAATTTTGTTATATTTTTATTCATTTTTTATTAAATATTTGTATTTTTTACTTTACTTTTAGGGGCTTCGGGGAAATATTAGGGGTCTAAACAGACCCCTGATATTTCCCTTTTAAAATAGAAAAAGAGATTAAGGACACAAAGCCCTCAATCTATTTTTCTGTATCCCATGTTATAAATGAACAGGAATCCTCTATACTGAGTGCTCCTGTTCATTCATAACATGAGGACATGGTATGTTTACTATAACTAAAACTATGAATGAACAGGAGGGGGATGTAGATCACTTCCTATTCATTCATAATTGAGTATATAGTAACCATACTCTGTCCTCCATTATCTACAAACACTCAGCGATAACTGATCACTTACCGCTGTCACAGGAGGCTGAACGAGTGCTGTAGGGAGGAGAGCTCAGCCTCCTGTGAAAGCGTGGCCTGTCTCCGCCCCTACACCGCTCTGCCGGACTGTGATAGGAGGCTGAGCGGTGTGGGAGGAGACGCCGGCTGCTCACAGCGCTCTCCTCCCGCAGCTCTCGTGCGGCTGTCACAGTTTCTCTCCCCCCGCGCTGGGACACAGAGCAGCGCATTATGCCAAAAGTATAGGCAATTCGATATGTTTTGGTGGCCGATATATCGCTGCATCCCTAGTTCTTAAAGTAAAACTCTGGCCAAATCTACATAAATGAAGTATACTGTACATCTTCTATTGTCTAATGTTCCTGGTGATCACTAGACTTTCGGCTCTAAAATATTTTATGAATAATTCTGAGTCTCTCTGCTATTCCATTCACTAGTTTCTAACAATAATTTTCTTGCATTAGAATTAAGGTTATTTTGTATTGACTACAAAGCACTATAGAACTGCTCCTCCTAAATAGCCAGACCCCATCTAGGCATCACTCTCTCCAAACTGTCCTCTCTACAGTTCCCTCTTCATTTATAATTTCATCCGATATATGGTTGCGGGGTATTGAAATGTGTGTGTTTTACTGGATTTTCTTCACAGAAGTACTGTACATCCCAATTTGATAAATGTCACAGAAGAGCAGATCAAAAGCAGACTGCATGCAATGCATCTATGTGATGTTCTTTTATATAGGCTGGAAGGTCTGATTGCAGCCACCCCTTCTCTCTATGTGGTATCATTACCAGCATGAAAGAATATTAGGCTGTCAACCCAGATATTAACAAGTATGGAAAACTGTCACTTTTGAAATAAATGGGCACTAATGACTGAAAAACCCATCCCTGGCGTTATCACGCCTTAGCAATCTCCTGAGTTTGCTTTTATATTGTCCTACTTAATGCATTAACTATTAAAAGCAGTTTGATAATACCTTCATGTTGTTTGCATTCTTCACTTTATTTTTTATATTTGTACTGATAATCAATTATTCGGGAATACCAAAAACTGGACTTGAACATGACATATTAATATTTATTACACCGAAAGATTATACTCAAGGGATGTTTATTCTCTTTCAGATTGTAAATACACATGCCACTCTCAGTGCCAAGGCCAGGTACAACTGAACTGTGAACCGAATGGCAAATTAATGGAATGCTCACCTGCGTACGAAACATTGGACCACTCCAACAACAATGATAAGGTACAATATATCATGTTTGTCTCATGACTCTTTTATGTTTATAAATATGTAACTTATTGGTTGCTTACTGCGTGTCTTAGACTCCGTTCCATTACACATAAAAAATAATACATTTAAATCTATACTGTTCACACTTGTGCGACGCCCGTGTTGTACAAAAAGTGCGATATTCTGGGCAGATTACGCGCATTCCGGTTATAGTAATAGCAGATACCGCGCGTATGTTAAAATCTGTGCGTTTTCCTGCACGGAAAATGCAAACGCCACGTGTGAATGGAGCCTTGGAGGAAATGTCCATTCTGCAGAATGTTTATTTGCATACTATAGTTAGTCTAAGACATTAAGACACTTGTCTATCTGTACCAAGTCCTGATGGAGAAATACCAGGCATATAGGTTTATTTTACAACACAATTCAAGTAGCAAAGTGCAAAGTACCAACATCAATCAATGAAAAGGGAGGCATATTATTGTTGTTTTTTTTTTTATTATGTTCAGGACTAAAAATATATTTTTTACTTATATTTTTCTTTGAGGTAGGTAAGAAATATTGCAGCTATATTTACCATTTGCAGACAGCAGGTGGTACACTGGGGCTTTTCATCAAGCTAACTTTTCTGCTATGCTGTGATAGGATCTTGCAATTTGATTGCCTATGTATCGGGTTTAGTCACAACACCCATACAGTTTGATGATGATGGGTTTTATTGTTTAAAAAAAAAAAAAAAATGCATAACCCCCTCCCTTCCCGGCCTCTTTCCTGAATGACACCAAACCAACACATTAGATGTCCAAGCTGATATACTGATAACTAGGGGGCTACCAGATGTAACCCCCTGAATCCTGATACTAGCCTAGATGTCCTTCAGCACTAATTAGTTGCTTCAAGACAAAGGGAATTGTAGCCCCAATTGGGAACGCTTAACACACTGGCTTGATGCTAACAGAAAATTGGATTATTCTCACCATCAATGCCTAAGAGGTGGGAATTGGTGGGGTTATGGGCTTGTTATTATCTTTCCTTTTGCATGATTAAAACATTTCAGAAATGCACACTCTTTAGATATTAAAATGATGATACACTTGTTGTTCTAGTAATGAAAACAAGTAAAGTCTGCAATTCCCCTAAAGTAGAAAACAAAAAGCAAAGTATGCCTTACACTAAAACACCTACTTAGAAGAGAACTATGGGGGAAGTGTTTTCCCCCGTAGTTCTCTTTAGCGTCACGGGAGGACATATGCTAACCTCCTCCCGTGACCCAAAGCTCAGTATATAACGATCCATTGCCCACGATACACTGAGAGCTCCGCAGTCGCGACTGGTCTCGACAAAACTATCTGTTCCACCCAGCTGGATGAGTGACAGCTGGCTCTGCCTATCTAGATAGAATCAGAGCCAGCTGTGC